CTGCTGTGATTCTATGTTTAAATAAATGAGGAAGGAGCGAGTCTTGGAAATTTTTTTTTCTGTTACACAAAGACTTGTAATGGGAGTTGATCTTCACCTCTCCCTGCAAACCTGCTTCACCTCCTGACTCCCGGCTCTTCTAGGTTTTTCTGACCTCTACCTCCCTCAAATTCCTGAGCTGCCACCAGACTTTTCTGCTCCGATGTCTCGGAAGTGGACAGGTTTAAACAGAACGTGCCTCCTTGTAAAAAGCTGCTGTTTGCCTTTTGTTCACGGCATCCCCAACCGTAGGGCTGTCACCTTGACCATATTTCTCTAAAGAGTTGCCAAATAATAGGCAATAGCTCTTACCGCCGTCATGAAGGCCCAGCTTCCCTGAGACCTCCTTCCCACTGGTCTTCTTGTCTGTCAGTCTCACATCCCACCTGGTTTCTCCTATTCCCCTGGAATCTATTCTGTTCAGTGTTATCCCCCTAATTTTGATTGTATTTTACCCCATGACCTGCAAAACAAAGTCCAAACTCCTTGGCCCAGTATTCCAGCATGTTCACAAATAGCTCCTAGCTTCATATCCAGCCTAATGGCCCAGGCACTTATCCTAGCCTCGAATAAGACCAAGACTTGTTCATGGACAGACCCTGGGGACATCTGCCTCTGGACCACTCCTCCCTCTCATGAGAATATCCTCCCCCTGGACGCCTCCTATTAGAATTATACCTATTCACCACCCTCTCTGTGATGCCTCCTCCTCTCCCCGCTATGAGATTCTCTTCTCCCTTTGGGCTTCGGACTTCTGGAGGCTCGTTGTTTTCTCTCTTCCCTAGCACCTATCATCCCGAAACCATCCCACATACGTTATACACATCTTGTTAATAATAATGGCTAACAATAATTGAGCACTTACTCTATGCAAGGCATTACACTAACTATCTCCCGTGGATTATCTCATTTAATCCCCACAGCAATCCTAGGAAGAAGAGTCGATTGTGTCCCTCATTACATAGATAAGGAAAGCTAGCTCACTGAGACGTAGCAGTCTGACAACCCCAAAGCGGCAGAACAGGGATTCCACCTCAAGCAGTCTGCTGAGTGCTGCCGGTGTGCCAGGCACAGTACCACACGCTTACATGGAGCATCACAAGCGATCCCACTAACAACCCTGCGGGGTAGACACCACTGTAGGCCATGTTTTGCCTACAAAAGAAAGATGAAGCATAGGAGTTGTGATAATTGTCTAAAGGATGGAATAAGTAGGCAGAGCCATTAAACCCAGGCAGTTGCAATGTGGAGTTCAAGAGTACAGCCAGACCACTCCCCGGCTTTCTCTATCAGACACTTTCAAGAGTACAGCCAGACCACTCCCTCGCTTTCTCTATCCGACACTAAGCTCTTTCAGCGCAAAGGCCAGGACCTTCATATCACAATCCAGGAGGCAGCACAGGGCATGGCATCAGTAGGTGCTTGAGCTGGGACCCCTGGTTTTACAGGTTCCATTTGCTTCCCATCAATTTTATGCCTTGCTAATATATTTTAGGGGTTGCCAAGGGTTTGGCTATTCTTTCTCCAGACAGTAAAATCTGAAGACAGATCTGAATCAAAAGAATCAAATTCAAGTACCTGTCTGTGACTCAGTCGAGTTTTCTAAAGGAGCCAATCTCTGCCTCAGTTTCCTCATCTTCATGCTAAAGGGAACTTTCACAGGTCCCTTTGCTCCCTAATAAGGGGAGGTTGAGTCAGATGCTGCAGAAGATAACAGGAATGACTATGACATTTCCCGTAAGTGTCAACACTCAGAGAACAGAAAAACAGCACAGGCCTGATGAGCTCCTGATGATTGGAACTGAGGAACTGAGAAAAGCATGGGGATCGTTTCACAAACGGCAGTGGGTAATCCACATGCCACCGCACAAAAGATAGAAGAGTCAGGAACACATCTTGCATTGTATTTCTTTCCAGAAGAAATTTACCCTTCTAACTATACTTTCTTTAGGATTAGGAGACTTTGTAGTTACTCAGCACACACTTAGCTAGGATTTAACTCTAAGGGACAAGGGGTGTTTGCGAAGCAAGCCCGCAAGTTCAACTCTGTTCACAGGTGATTCCAATTCAGAGTTGGTTAACATTTATTGAGTATGGACAATGCTCTGGACACTGTCCAAGGCACTTTTACACACAACATTTAATTTATTCCCACTAAAATCTGATGATACAGGCATTTCTGCCCAAAGGTTACAGGTAAGGAGAAGGAAGCTCAGAAGCCTCCTTCAAAGTGGCCGAGTTCTGTGTATATAAGAGATGACGATTTTCAAATAGAGCATTGATCACCTCACTGCCAAACAGCTCTCCTGATCGAGGTGTTGCCCAATATTGATGTTCCCGACAGAAGACAGCAAGATGCAGAGACTCCTTTCCCTGTCTTCCCCAGGCAGCAATGAGCAAGGGCTCGTGAGGCCTTGCAATTTCAGTTTAAATCCCATCCTCAACTTGTGAAAGCAAGCAACAGCCACCCTCTGGGCCTCACAGTCCTCCTCTGTAAAATGAGAAGAATTGGACAAGAATGTGACAAAAGACCCATTGGCTCAAATGATCCCTGATTCCACTGGATCCAGGACATCATGTTTATAGCTTAGGTCTCATTGAGACCTCTTAATGACAGTCACCCATGCAAAGAAGGAAGTAGAGCATCTGGGTTTATTGCTGTGAGGATGGAGTTAGTCTGGGAATTTCTGCTGATGCTGGTGCTCAGCACAGGGCACACAACCTGTGTCACTTGGAACCCAGGGCAATCCAAGACCTGGTCAACCCACAGAACCCCTGGCTGCCTTCCTAGAAAGTAAAGGAGAGCAAGCTCCTAGACTCTGGGCCTTGGACTTTTGACCCTTAACATCTTGTTTTATCCCAGAATGAAGCTCAGAGAGGCAGAATCTTGAAAGGGTTCAAGAAGCAAAGAGTAAGAGACCACAGAATCAGAGGCACCCTGTGGAACCCTGTGTGGCCAGACACACAGCTCTGTCTCCTGAGAGGGTGATGTCCTTCCCCTTTCATTCCCCTAGTCCTGCTCTATCGTGATTCCCAAGCTTCAATGACAGGTACCTGCCCCTGCCAAGCTGAGTCCCATCACCTTGCCCCTCTCTACCCTAACCCAATCTTCTCTCCTCCAAGAACCACAAGTGTTTTACAAACTGCTTTCAGATGAATAATTGAGAGCTCAGGGGAAGGAAAAATTAACCCCTCCCTATCTTGGGACCATAAAATCTTCTGGTCCCAAAGCCAAACTTTTACCCCATGCATGAATCCAGGGCACTTTTCCTAAAGAAGGCCAAGCAAGCCCCAGGCTGTCTCCAGAGGCTCAGCCCCTGTCCCCCTGGGGGGGGGGGGGTTGAAACATACCAAAAAAAGGAGAAATTACCCCATTGTTACTTTCTCTGTGTGTGGGGGTAGGGGAGTGGAAGGGGAGGACAAGTATCCCATCAGATATGATACCCAAGGCCACACTGGCCATAGCCACCCCACAACGCTGCAGGCATGACCCACTCAAACAGGCCTTCTCCACGGCTCATACAGCAGCGCTCACCCCCTGACAGGAACCAACACCTTCCGGAGCTGGCCTGGGTATGAATTCCTGCAACAGGCACAACAGTGCGGCCCCATTTCCAGCCAATGGCACTGCACATGCCTCAAATGCCAAGGTTTTACTAGGACGTGGACGCCTTACAAATGAAAAATCTGAAGCTATTTTTGTTTTTGGCAGAAGAGTTTGACAGTGGGAAAGATAGGGGGTTGGGGGAGGCTGGAAAAGAGACATTCAAAACAGGTAAGCTCTGAAATGAAAAAGGTGACAAATCCTGGCAAAGGGAAACATTTTCTCCTGCTCTAAAAAGTCAGCTACTCCATTAAACAGTTTCTGTTTTGGAGGTAAAAGGCGAAAAGTGGACAGAGTGACCAGACAGCCTGTTCTGGGGTTTGACACCTAGCCGAGCACAGGCATAAGGCAGGAAAAAAAAAAAAATATCATGACACCAAGGTCTGTCCTTCAATAACCTCATTGGAGCGCCTCTGGAAACTTACTTTCTACAGTCTCACATCACATCCCTTAGCCTAGAACGGGGCTGGTCTGGGGGCAGGGGAAAGTGCCTATGACCCAGAGGGCTTCTCCTATGTGCAGAGGATTTTGGTAGGCAAGCACTAAAGGTGAACCAAACTGGGGATTCTTGGGGCACGGGCTTGGGGCACACGCACAGAACCTCTTCTCCAACAGTGCCACTCCTAGGCTAGCCAGGGCACCTTCCTGAACTGCTTTTCTCCATCAGCCTCCTCAAGAGCAAAAGGGAACAAGCTACTAACCTCTTTCTCTAGAGCGGGGTGGGGGGCGGGGAGGAGCTGGGGAGGCGGGTCCCTTGTATCCTTGCATCGTGTTGCATTCAAGTAGAGACAAGGAAAAAATAAACACATCAATTCCCTTCCTGTGTGCCAACAGGTCCACATGGGGAAATGTATACATGCTTTGCATTGAATTCGTGCACACCCAGGAGCCCTGTCTACAGACAGTAAACATACAGACTCTCTCAAAGTAAAGTAAACAAGACATACATTTAACCATCACGAACATCCATGCAAAATACAGCAACGCTTGCCTGGTCTTACAGACAGATCACATTGTGCCTAGGACCCCGAGAAAGTTTAGACGCTCTCTCTTAAGGAATACACGAACCCTTTTTCTTGCAGTGCGGTATCAGGTCTGGAACCTCAGCCTGTTGCTGACATATCATAGCTGCCTGGGATAAAAGCAGAACATCTTGGACCGGATTCGAATGTCAACACTAAGCAAGAGCAGGAATTTAGTTGAGTCCAGGTAACTTCTTTGCCCAGTCCCTTCCCGTCCCCCACCTCCAGTGTAAACACCTCTCAAAGTAAGTCTTTGGATCCCCCTCCCCGGGGCCGCGACGGCCCTTGGCGTCAGGTAGGGATCTTTCCCAGAGCTCGCGGGGTGTCAGCGGCTTCAGGCAGGACCAGATCCAGATGGACTGGCCCCCAGCCTCTGGTAGACACACCGCCGGCTCGCCCGACAGGAGAACTTTGCGAAGCGCCCCAAAACGCTCTCGGTTTCCACTTTCAGCCATTTCTCTCCTTCTTCCCTCACCAAGAGCGGGGACAGAGCGAGCCTTCGCCACCTGTCCCTGGCACTCGCCAAGGGAAGATAGGCCAATGGAAAGAGGGCAGAGGTTCACACCCCACCCCCGAACCCCAGCGCCTGGCTGCCCGGAGGTGGCTCCACAGCCCGAGGGAACCGACGCCCCCGGGCCGGCTGCCTGCTCCCCCACGGCACGGGCCCCACCCCCAATCCTTCCGGCGCCCCAGCGCCCACCCACCCGGGCGCGGGAGTGGGAGGGTGTCGCGTGGGCAGCTGGAGCAACAGGCGTGGGAGCAGCGCTCCTCTCACTTCCTGGCTCCAGAAAGCTCGGTCGCGTCCCTCTTACCTTCCGCGAAGCCAGCCCGGGCCCCGCGCCCGGCGCCCTGCGCGCGCGAGGAAGCTGCGGCTGGGAGCCGGGGGCCGCGGAGGCGCCGAGCGCACAGCAGCGCGGGGAAGCGCCCAGCAGCCGCCGCTCGCGCGGCTCCTCCTCGCCAGCGAAGTCTCGCTCGCTGCCTCCCTCGCTTGGTCGGTTCGTGCGTCCGTCCGTCCGTGGGGCCCTCCCTCCCCCGCCGCCACTGCCGCCGCCGCCGCCGCCGCCGCTGCCGCTCCAGCCCCGGCTCGGCAACGCGTCCCCTCCCCGCCTCGCTGCTCCGATCGCGGGCTCGCGGGCTCCCTCGCTCGCTCCCTGCCCCCGCCGCTGCCGGCGCCGCGCGGAGCGAAGCCCGGCCGGCCAAGGGCTGCCTCTCCCGAGGTCCCTCTCCCGAGGGGGGAGGCGGTGGGGGCGCGGCGCGGGCGGGGCGGGGAGGAGAGGAGAGTCCGGGGGAGGCGGCAAGGCTGCGCCCTCGGCTCCCTTCCGATCCCCGCGGGCCCAGCGGCCCCAGGCCCGGCGGGAGAGCGCCGAGCCGCCAGGCAGCGGAGGGAGAGAGGAGGAGGACCCGGAGTCTCGCCGCGGGAGGGTGCCCAGGGCGAGGGCGTGCGAGGGGGAGTGACTCCGCGCGCGATGGTGTGTATGAGTGTGAGTGCTTGTGTGTGTGTGTGTGTGTGTGTGTGTGGAGAGGAGCGCGCGCGTGAGCGGGGGGTGGGGAGATGAGGCAGAGCCTGGTGCGTCTCCCTGGCGAGTGGAGGAATCCTAGGGTGTGCCTGGAGGTGGCGGAGTGTACCGACGCGGGTGTGAGCGCGTGTGCCGGCGAGGGTGGGCACGGGGGTGAGCGTGGCAAGGTGAGCTGGGTTTGGGGGGTGGGGGGGAGTGGGGAGTACGGCGTGAGCGTAAGTTCGGGGGAGTGTGTGGCTGAGGACCCGTGGAGAGGTGGCAGGGAGCGCCGGCGTGTGCGCGCGTGGGGTGTGTGTGCACCTAGCTGGGTGTCTATTTCTCGCTGACTGTCCACAGGGCAGCAGCACTTGCTAGAGACCAAGCCCCGCCACCTGGCAAAGTGGGCCCCCTACCGCGCAAGCTTCCCTGCTGGCCCCTGGCTCTCAGCTCCGAGTGCCGAGGCTGAAGAGATCCCCGGGGGACACACTGCCTCTAACCCCACGTATGAGCCGCTCTCCTCTTGGAGGGCAAGGGCACCATCGGAAGGTCGAGATTCGCCCTCCTATCCCGCCACGTCTATCCACCACCCAGACCGAGAGTCTGGACTTGGGAGTGTGAACTCTCCCCCGAGCCTGTCCCCTTACAACTGGAGCCCGCCCAGCCCTTCAGTCCGTCCGTGACGCCCATGGGTCCCCACTGCTCCATGCCTCGTGGACCCAGAATACGGAGTGGGAAGGTCAGCATGTGCCCACAGGGCCAGGTGTCCGGCCCAGATTCCCACCCTCAGGGCGGCGGCGCGCAGAGGGCGCAGTCCCAGCCGCTGGGCGGACCCGTGGCTCCGGCTTTCTCGGTGTCTCCAGCCTCGGTGCCCGGAATCCGGGATCTCGGCCTGGCGCTCGGGAAGCGAGGCAGCTCCGTGCCCCAGCAGGGATGGGGTACGCTTGGCTTGAGGATCACATTTCTGGGTGTGGAGAGGTGGGTGCGGAGGCGGAGAAATGAGAAATGTGTTGTGATGGCGGGGGTGTTCTAGACTGTGAGGGTGATGTAGACCCTAAGACAATTGTAGACCCAGGGCTGGAAAAGGACCTCCCTGAGCACGGAGCGGGGCTTCTGGCTTGTGAGAACCCCTAGCCCCCTTCCAAATGAAGGAGTTGTTGATAATTGTGGTCTGGGCCCTTGTGGGCCCCTGGCAGGTTAGTCCCTCATTCACTCACTCTCACATTCCCCGGAGCCCCCTTCAGTCTGTCAGTCTGAAAGGTGTACAATTGGCCCTTCAGGAGGTGGGCGTGGGCTCCATTAGCATTTGCCAGGAGTCCCGGAGCTGTGTGGGATTTGCATACAGTAATAATGATTAACAACACTGCCACTCCCTGGCAGACAGGGGAAGAATTCGGGGAAGGCCCTGGCGCAGCTCCCATCTCCCTCCTCCCTTTCTTCTGGGGAGGGGCTAATTTTCTGGCAACTGCACACCTCAGTTGCTCTAACCCCTGGGAGAAAGTGCCTCAGGTCCTGGGTGGTCACTACTCAGGAGGCAGGGGCACTTTCCTTCAGTCCTCCATCCCATGTTCAATTCAAAGAAGTGAAACCCGTGTTTTATTTCTGCCCGGGTTTGAACTCCTCTACATTCTCACTGTTGTTTAGCATCTTGAAGGCAGCTCAGGGGTTAAATCTGCCTCAAGGTTTGGAGGCTTCAGGAGACAGTTGGGGGACATCATTTCTCCCCAGGGGGTCAACTAATGGGACAATTGTGGCCTCCTGAGCCTCTTAAGCCCTGTTTGAAGACCAGACACTGGTTCAGACACCTGCCCCCTCATTCCTCATAAGCTGGTATCTCATTGCTTAAGTGTGCTGGCTGTAGACTATTCTCTCTTTCTGTCTTAACCATCTAGGGAAAATAGGAAAGACTGGGATTTCTAGTCTAGGCCATTGTGGGTTTTGTTTACCAGCCCTTCCGACAACCAGGTGTTCTGCAAAATGAGAGCAAGCGATGGGGAGAAAGGAGGTCCCTTGACTCAGGCAGCAGGAGTACCCAGGAGATGCTGTCCTTCCCACTGGTCCCCAGCCCTCTACTGCATCTTTCCAGCACTGCCTGTCCTCGCCTTCCCCCTCTGCCTCTGGTCCCAGCCTGGCCGGGATTTTCACTTGCTTTTCCCCCATGACACGGCCGCTTTTCCTTTAACTCTCAGCTTCTATTTAAAAAGCTAATTTGGGAGCTTGTCGATGCTCCCAATTCAGACATTTTAAATAGGAACTGAAAGTCAGGAGCTGCCAGGGCACTAGATTTCCTCCCCTCGCCACCAGCACAGCTGAGGCATTTGTTCAGTCACTCCTCTGGCCCTGGCCGTGTGTGTGTGAGCACCCGCAAGCTCAGGGTGTATTTCAGGCTATCTTTTCTATTTAAAGATGGTGCTCCTTTGGATGACTATTCTTTCTCTGTGTGTGTGTCCTTTCCAAGCTGTGCACACATGAGGATTTTTCTTTAGTCCCGTGGTGCTGGCCGCTATTTGCAAAGCTTGTCACCGTGTGGACCATGAGGGTAAGAGGCAGCCCAGCTCCAAGTTGGCTGCCTCTTTGCTGATGTGCCTGGCTGGTATGTCTGTGTGGCTGTTTCCCAGGGCTGCTCTGTTCAGGCTGTCTCTTTGAAGCTGTGCTTCAGAGTGTCCTTAAGGGTCACCCCCACCCTTACTGCTTATAACTGTTCTATTTCAGCAATCTGCCCCATGTTTGGGCAGAATTTTGGGGGTGAGCTGTACCTCTGAGGGTTACAGGCTTTCTACATTCTGAGTGCTATGTACCTGAGATGTAAAAAGCACAGACTTTGAGGTGAGACTGGCGGGGTTTGAACCTGCCTGTGCTGTTAATTGGCTGTTTGATCGTGTGGAAAGTACTTAACCCCTCTGTGCCATGATTTCTTCCTCTCTCAAATGGTACTAAGTAATACTATCTACTTTATAGGGTTGTGAAAATTGAATGAACTAACACAGATAAAGCGCTTAGAATCATGCAATATAATTGTTGGTTGTTGTTCAAGGTAGGAGTAGTGCACGCAGGAGGTGCAAAGGAATCTGTGTGAGGAGGAAGATAGAACTGGCGGGTGGTACACAGAGACACATAGAGTCACTCACCCACCCGTGCATGTAACAATAAAAACGCTAGGCCGCAGCCCACAGAGTCAGGTTCACCTTGCTGGGATAGCTAATTCCCCAAGTCCCAGGAAAGGGAGGTTTCTGGTGAAGGAATAGAGGAAGTGTTTAGGAATAGAGATGAGGAAGGAGCTTGACCATGTCAGAAGCCCATGGGACATTTCTTGGGGGCCGATTTATGCTGAAGAGTAAGTCCCAGGACCCTCACTATCCATGTGGTCCCAGCTTCCCTTATTTAACCGCTGACAGCAAGGCTTTATGAGAGTGAGCTCCAGCGAGGAAGTCAGGAGGGTGGCACCTCATTCTCCCTGAGGCTCCCCTTGGGTGTGGGGTACTCTCACTTTCACCCTGCCATTGCCTGCCATCCCTTATTCCCACAGCTGGGCATGTGAGCTTTTATTTAGTTGCTATTAGAGTTGATTTCACCTCGGTTCATGAATGTCTAAGGAAAGAAGGGGCCGCAGGAAGCTGCTAGCAGGAAGAGGAACTCTGAAGAGCAGGAGGCTGTCCAAGGGATGAAAGCAACATTGCAAATGCTCGTTTTGCATCAGGCTTTAGCATATCAGCCGTAAGTCAAGGAGCCGCCGTATGTTGGGCTCCTTGCTAGATTTTCCACAATCCTGCGCTGTAGCTATTACTATCATCCTATTGACAGAGAACCTGAAGGTAGCTGGTAGAGAGGGACACTCCAGAAGGATGTGAGGCTGCATAGCTACATTGGAGCTCTGACCTCTCCCTTTTGTCACTACCCCAGGATGCTTGGTTTCCCCGCTTCTGAAAGTAGAGTAGCCTCCTCAGTCTGATAGAGGGGCTACCCTAAGAGGACATTCCTGACCTCTCCTGTATTTGGCCTCCAGAGGTTAGGTGTGGGGTTGATGTCATTTGAATATTTGTCCCCTCCAAATCTCATGTTAAAATGCAATCCCCAGCGTTGGAGGTGGGCCTAGTGGGAGGTGTTCGGATCATGGGGGTGTATCCCTCATGCATGTCTTGGTTCCCTCCCCATGGTAATGAGTGAGTTCCTGCTGTATTAGTTCACGTGAGAGCTAGTTGTTATAATGTGTCTGGCACCTCTCTCCTCTCTCTCTTGCTCCCTCTCTTGCCATGTGACACATCTGCTTCTCCTTCTCATCCACCGTGAATGAAAGCTTCCTGAGACCTGACCAAAAGCAGATGTTAGTGCCGTGTTTGTACAGCCTCAGAAACCATGAGCCTAATAAATCTTTTTTTTTTTAAACAAATTACCCAGCCTCTGGCATTCCTTTTTAGCACTGCAAAATGAACTAATGCAGGGGCAAAGACTCAGAATGTCCAGGGTGGGGATGCACCCTATTTTTCTTCAGGGTGATGTCTGCCTGAGGAATTCTAAAGCTTGAAAGTGGCTTGGCTTTCTCTAGCCTCCCAAGGCAGGGTAGGAGGTGGCGGTGTAAATGCTGATGAGGTTTGCCCCAGTCCCAGAAGGCCAGGGCTCTGCCTTCCAGGTATCAGCCCAGGTTGTCTAGCTTCCAGGACAGCAAGCTCTGCCCAACATTGGTGGTCTCCAATGACTGAATGCTCACAACTATTAGATGTTTCTGGTCCCTTTATGAGGGGGGCACTCTTACTTCTTGCAGCCCTACTCCATTTTGGAGGCCAGTAGTGCCCTGGAACGTCATCTCATTAATCACTATGCTTAGACCAGTTATGGCAAATGATAAGCCATCCAAGTTTCGGGCTCCAGTGGACCTTCTGCCAGCCTGACCCCTGATCCAATCAAGGCAGCTCCTCGGGGGGGCAAAGCCCAGATGGAGGGTTTTCTGCTTATCAAGACCTCCCTTGGAGAAAGGTGCCAGGGAAGGAAGAGGAGGGAAGAAAAGGAGGAAAGCAAATATGAGAAGGGGAGACAGGTACAGGGAGTTGGGGAAAGTTCTAATCATTTGTTTAGTTTCCTGATAGCAGATCTGGAGAGCGGTGGGTGGAGGCTGGGGATATAGCTGTTGAATGTAGTGACTTGTTTTCTGCTGGTGGTTTCTTTTTTGGTTTTTTTTTTTTGTTTTTGAGACGGA